TCTGCCTTCGCCGCGCACTCGAGTACTTCGGTCATATTGCTCGGAAAACACCGGATAGCTTAGAAAGACTATTCGTGTCAGGGAAGATCGAGGGAAAGAGACCGCGCGGGCGCAGTCCGACAAGGTGGTTCGACCAAATCCGCACCACACTAGAGATCCCATTCCACGACGCCCTTCATGCGGCCAATGATCGGAGGCGCTGGCGGGACATCACAAGGAGTAAAATCATGTCGAATTATAATGGTCACGACCCTCAGCAGTGAGGAAACGACGCGAGGAGGAGGAGAAATATGAAAATGTGCGGAATTAAATAAAAATATCAATTTTGCTTTTCCTTTGATGTCTCCTCCGTCGGACGGATTCCTTTTGTTTGTTTTAAGTTTATTTTATACATTATCGATTGAGGCACTACGAAGTCTGCCGGGTCAGCTAGTTATAATAATAATAATAAATAACTGGTAACAAACAAGCATGATCATTCAGCCCCAAATTATGATTACCTTTTTTATGGGTACCATAGATACTTATATACGTTTAAATATATACATAATAAACTCCCAGACAGAGAGCAAACAAATCTATTCATCACACGAATGTTTGCTGTATATGGGAATCGAATCCACGACCATGGTTGCAACAGTCAGGGCCGCTAAATACTGCAACACCGTCAGTCAGTCAGTAAATAGTGATGGTAGGGGAATTGGACGCGCGAATGAGTATCACCTGCCAAGTTTTAGCGCGCAGTAGTCGAGCTTTCCGGTTTGAAGAGTGCGACAGCTGCTATACCACATAACTGGTCCTTCAATCTGGTAACCACTTAACACCATTTACTGGTGGTAGGACCTCGCGGGTAGGTACCACTGCCCCGCCTATTTCTGCCGTGAAGCAGTAATGCGTTTCGGTTTGAAGGGTGGGGCGGCTAACTATACTTGAGACCTTAGAATATAAATCTCAAGGTGGGTGGCGCATTTACGTTGTAGATGTCTATGTGCTCCAGTAACCACTTAACACCAGGTGGGCTGTGAGCTCGTCCATCCATCTAAGCAATAAAAAAAAACCTCAATTCCAAATAGAATCTATACGAAAGCGTGCAATGAAAGCCCTCACACACGGCTGTTAGCGTTTCGTCTTGTTTCCAGTCGACGTCCATGAATATTAACAAGCGAACTATTTATAAGACATATCGACCTTCAGACAGCTGTCTAACTTAAGAGCACCGAATGAATAAATTAACTATCTCTATTGACAAGTCGATACACAGGGTGGTGTTTCGTTCTGTTTTTTATAAATTATAATCTATAATTTTTTAACAAAGTTACTCATCAATGATAATACAAGATGGTGGTTTTTACCACCCTGTCTATTTCTGCCGCTAAGCTGTAATGCGTTTCGGTTTGAAGGGCAGTGCAGCCGTTGTATTGTTAAAAGTGAGACCTTACAACTGATGTCTCAAGACGGATGGCGGCTTTTACGTTGTAGATGTCTATGGGCTCCAGTAATCACTTAAAACCAGGTGGGCTCTGAGCTCCTCAAAACATCTAACCAATAAAAATATAAAGAATTTAAAACAAATAAAACCTTACATGTGTAAGATAGTTTTGAATTTATCTGTGAAAAATTGTATGGTATATTTATTGGTATCATGTTTAAATAATACGTCATTAACCTAATTGTCAGAGCATGCATCTGTAAAACCGAAAATATATCCGGGCCTAAGCTACATACGGAGTATATTTGAATATTTTTGACGGCACACATTTGAACTGATTTGAGATGTCGTCCGACCTAGTAGATGTCTATGGGCTCCAGTAACCACTTAACATCAGGTGGGCTGTGAGCTCGTCCACACATCTAAGCAATAAAAAAAAAAAAAAAAAATAGTATTGTGATCATTGAAAATATCTTTGTATTGTTACGCGCTGGGGTTCGGGATAAATAAAACTTCCACCAAAGTACAAATTAAAACTATATTAAATACTTATAACTTATATTGAGAACGCTTCACAATTTGTAATTCACTTCTTCCGCTTCGCTTCTGGTGATCCGTTGGCTGTTTCACTTCGAGTAGAGCCGATTACTAATTACTTCCGTGTCATCTCTGCAACGCTTTTTTAGTCGATACAACAACCTAGAATTATCGAGAACATTCTCGGGAAGGCCAGTCGTTTCGATATGTGTTTCCGCTATTTGATAATAGATGGCGTTGCGCTTATCGGCCGTTCTCAATTTTATTAGTTCTTTTGATATTCGTTTCTGCTAGTCGACGATAGATGGCGCTACTCTAACCCGTGTAACAGTACTTAAGGCTACTTTTTTAAGAAATCGGTAAACGACAAACACGTCAAAACATAAATACATTTGGATACAAATTACTTTGCAAATGCGAAAATAGGAACATTTCGAGGCCAGATGTTAGCGACGTGTTCTAATATACTAATGTTTCTTGTTGAACGAGAAATATTTTGCATTAAGAACTTGGTGTAAGGAATAAAATTGGAAACTCTGAGAAAACAACATTCGAGTTGATGTTGTAAGGTCGTTTGCGTAATTTTGATTGAGCATCCTTATTCCTTATTTTATCCTTATTTTATAGAGAAGCACAAATAAATGATTTAAAAAAAAATTGTTAACTAGAAATAAATCACCAATCACACACGATTATCAAGCCAAGCCAAGATTTCCACAGGATTGTACTAGGGAGAGAATCAGATAATATAAAACTAAACGCGTTTTTGCATGTACACGCTTATATAGAAGAAGAGTCAGTCAATAAAATCGTTCATCAGATAAATGTTTGCACGATGTGGCAATCGAACCCACGATTCGGCCATTAGTCAGGGGCTAGCGTCACCATCACCACCATCACCACTTCACCATCGAGTCAATCAAATAATCAGGCTGCCCAATTATCTGTGGCTCACGGTTAGCTGTAAGAAAACTTGGTAAGAAACTAGGCTTTTATTTATTTTTTTCTTTATTGAAAATATGAGTATACGAGCTCACAGCACACCTGGTGTTAAGAGGTTACTGGATCCCATAGACATCTACGACGTAAATGCCGCCAGCCACCTTGAGATACGAGTTCTAAGGCATAAGTATAGTTACAACGGCTGCCCCAGCCTTCAAACCGAAACGCATTACTGCTTCACGGCAGAAATAGGCAAGGCAGTGGTACCTTCCCGCGCGGACTCACAAGAAGTCCTACCACCAGTAAATAATAATAAGATTGTCACTGTGGGTATAATATTTTATGTAAAAAGTATGTTTTATTTCGGTTGTTCTTGCTGTCCTAATTGAGGAGTAAAATGAAATTCAAAAAGTATGCCTTTCTTATCTTATCTTTATATGTTATCTTGTACTTTTATACTACTGATAATAATACATTTACTTGTTTCATTTATTGGTTTTTAAAACAATAAAATAAAATAAAAAAGCCTATATTTCCTTATCCTTAGTTTTCATTTCAAATGTGGTATTTATTTGTTAATGTTTAGTTAGTTATTAATGCTTATTGTCTAAATGTTAGTACGAGTTAATTTTTGTTATTGGATATGGACCCCTCATCTCGGGTGAAGGCCTCCTCCAGTCCTTTCCACTGATCTCTGTCCTTGCCGATCATTTGCCAGTCCTTTCCTATTATTTCGGTTATGTCGTCAGCCCATCGTCTTTTCGGTCTCCCTACCCTTCTTTTGCCAATTGGCCCTTTCCAGATTGTAGTGTTGACTGTCCACCTGGTGTCTGTGTATCTCAATACGTGACCTGCCCAATGCCATTTCAATTTTAAAACAATATTAATAGTGAATTACGATTCTAGCTATAGCGTAAGATGAAGCTAAAGAATCGACTTTATAATAACGAGCGTATTGAACAGCAAACAAAACAATAAATCGAATTCCGGATCCGAAAGAAAATGCACATTAAAATTTTTCACGGTCCTAGGATTCTCACATACTTCACGAAGGAAATAAACCTTAATTGAGCAATCCCGTTGAAACGATACACGGTTTGCCTTCGAAACAGCGGAATGTACATTTGACACGCTATAACTTTAGTGTGTATATAAGCTTTAAATATTTAGAGAACGGACTCGGAATATTTTCCTTCGAACGTAATAAAATAACTTAGGCTTAATACGGGCAAAGGTTAACATAGTTTCCCGAATATATTTTTGTTGTTTATAAAGTACTAGCGGCCCGCTCCGGCTCCGCTCGGGTCAATAACAAAAATTTCAACGATATTTATTGTCGTTGTTTTATTTTTTTAAATAAAAGAACACTTATTGCAGCATAACTATAATAGTTAGACATAAGCTGTCGCCACACTTTTTGTAAATAATAATGTGTTCTTCAAAGTCGTCTTCAAAGTCGTAGTACATTATTTTATTCTATCATCAATAGTTTTCGCAGGGCACGCGATGTAAAGAATGTTTTAGGTAATTTTTTTACATTTTGGGTTACATTATTGGAGTTTTAGTAAAAATCCGTAATTTTTTTCAAAAAAAAGATTATAGCCTATATCACTCGGTGATAGTGTAGCTTCCAAACACTGAAAGAATTTTTCAAATCGGTTCAGTAATTTCGGAGCCTATTCAATACAAACAAATAAAGAAATATTTTCTCTTTATAATATTAGTATAGATTATATTATCTAAATGCAAATGTCGAAATAATTTATTGGGTAATACAGTTCAGTGTGTTTTGCGCTTCTTAGAACTGTTTGAAGAGCTAGTTAATTGTAGAGAAGGGAAAATAATTTCTGATGGTCAAGTAGTTATAGTTGCTGGGTAATAAAAAAATATATGAAAGAAAATTAAATAAAAACTACTTACCCGAGATCAAAAATGTAATGAAAAAATATAAATTGTATTGAATGGAATAAATAAATAAGTAAATAAAAAAATTGTCAGGCATATATCACACACGGTTATCATGCACCAATTAGGATTCATATTTACATACATTTAAACAAAAACCTTTATTTATTTTAAACTCTTTAGTTTTAAAAAATGATTTTTGATTTTTCTTCAGTGTCATCCTTGCGCAGGGGCTATTTTAATCTTCTATGTTTTTTTAGGTTTTTCTTTAAATGCATACATATACGAGTACATATGCACTTCTAGTCGGTAAATATATACATATAGACATACCTAATACGCTAAAGAGCATAAAATCTGTTCGACACGGGAACGTTTGCCCAAAGTAGAAATCGAACCAGGGTAGTCTAGAAGTAGTAGGTAGTCTAGTCTAGTAGTAGTAGGTAGTCTAGTCTAGTAGTAGTAGGTAGTCTAGTCAGGAATGCTGACTACGGCGCTATCACAGCCGCCCAGTTTTCATATTTTTTCCACTAAAACTATGGCACTCATACCGCTACATGACAAAATATATAGGTAATCTTTGTTTGAACGTCGGCTTCTATACACAATTCAAACTACGACGACCGTTAATACAAAATTCAACTCGCGTACCGACTAGAGTTCAACAGACCAATTAAAAGCACATATAACAAACTTAGAGGCATTGTCAACACACCGTTTACCCTTAATCGAAATAACTTATGAATACAAAACACTCACACGCACATTGCTCTGAGCAAACGCGAGGTTGGAGGCGCATTTACGTTGTATATGTCTATGGGCTCCAGTAACCACTTAACACCAGGTGGGCTGTGAGCTCGTCCACCCATCGAAGCAATAAAAAAAATAAAAAAATAAACAGCATAAAAATCTGATCGACACGGGAACCAAAGTAGAAATCGAACCGACTACTTGGGTAGTCTAGCAGTCAGGGATGCTGACTACGGCGCTACCACAGCCGCCCAGTTTTCATTTTTTTTTTTCCACTATAACTATGGCACTCATACCGCTACATGACAAAATATATAGGTAATCTTTGTTTAAACGTCGGCTTCTATACTCAATTCAAACTACGACCGTTAATACAAAATTCAACTCGCGTACCGAATAGAGTTCAACAGACCAATTAAAAGCACATATAACAAACTTAGAGGCATTGTCAACACACCGTTTACCCTTAATCGAAATAACTTATGAATACAAAACACTCACACACACATTGCTCTGAGCAAACACGCTTCGTACGTAACTTACAATACACAAACTCGAACATTGTTATTTTACTCGGCAATGTGCGTTTAAAACTGTAAGTACATTCGCGTATCTCTCGAAAACCTTGTACGTAATTCGGTGGATTAGAAACGTCTACAAAAGTTATTATGAATCCAAACGTCATAATCCTGTAAGCCAATTTTGAATGACTAGACGCTGGATGTGTGAGCATCGTGACACAGCGCTTTGTACGGTGATTGTCAGCGTAGCGTGGATGAGCAAGTTGTAAGTTAATGTGATATTTAAATGATAAATTCAGATTGCTGTCGGAATATTTGTGGTGGTGAGATCGACTGCTAATTTTTAATGTGGGAAAGAAGGTAAGTATACACTTGGCAAAAAACCAGCCCTTTGAAATAGATTTCGCTATTCATCTTNGCATCGTGAAACAGCGCTTTGTACGGTGATTGTCAGCGTAGCGTGGATGAGCAAGTTGTAAGTTAATGTGATATTTAAATGATAAATTCAGATTGCTGTCGGAATATTTGTGGTGGTGAGATCGACTGCTAATTTTTAATGTGGGAAAGAAGGTAAGTATACACTTGGCAAAAAACCAGCCCTTTGAAATAGATTTCGCTATTCATCTTATTCAATGTCATATCAAAAGGTTTTTTTAATTATTTTTTTATAGCTTAGATGGGTGGACAAGCTCACAGCCCACCTGGTGTTAAGTGGTTACTGGAACCCATAGACATCTACAACGTAAATGCGCCACCCACCTTGAGATATAAGTTCTAAGGTCTCAGTATAGTTACAACGGCTGCCCCACCCTTCAAACCGAAACGCATTACTGTTTCACGACAGAAATAGGCAGGGCGGTGGTCCCTACCATAGGCAGGGCGGTGGTACCTATCGGTGGTACCTGCCGGCGGTGGTGGATTTTTTGTATTAATGGTCAATTTTATTATTTTTATTTAAGATAGTGTAACTGGTACATAGTGTTTTTTCGATAAACTTGTGAACCACTTGATTGTGGATTCCACTTACCCTGAAGATGAGAACCTAAGTCAAACAAATTGCCAAATAGTTCGTTCGGTCTGTGTGAAATAAAACATGAAAGATTAGCAATCATTTTTATTGAAAACACATAACATATTATTCGCCGGTACCATGAAAACTGTAAAGAAATTCGAAATGTCGGAAATGATATAATAATGAAAATAAGAACGCTATATTAAACGCATTTACTTTTAATTATATCACCTATTGACTTCAGAGATCTCAAAGGCACAGTTTAACTTCTGTATACCCTTAAAGAATTCCTATCTTTCCATTTTTTCAACTCCACAATTAACTGTTCTTCGCTTTTTGTCTCTCTCAATAAACATTAGTATGAAAGTCATCTTTTCAAACTACCCTCCTGGGAACGGGTCATGTTACTCTTCTTGCCTCACAACCATTTGTAAGTTGGTTCTTGTTGTGTTATATCTATATATTAATACGTGAAGCAAAAACTTTGTATCCCTTTTGTACGAAAATTGCGCGGACGGAGGAGTATGAAATTTTCCACACTTATAGAGAATATAGAGAAGAAGTGCACAATGCTAATATTTTTTCAAAATAATGCATAAAAGATACATTAAATCAATAAAGAAAACATTACACACACTACATACCATGTATTTGACGCACACACGCATGCATACTATTTATTGTCAAACTTTTGTTNAGAAGAAGTGCACAATGCTAATATTTTTTCAAAATAATGCATAAAAGATACATTAAATCAATAAAGAAAACATTACACACACTACATACCATGTATTTGACGCACACACGCATGCATACTATTTATTGTCAAACTTTTGTTCTTGGCGTCTGTTGTCAAATTGAGAATAGATTAAATATTGTTTGTCTTTGTTAATATTTTATATAGTGTTGTCTTGGCGAAATTTGTGGTCATAGAAGTATAAAATACAATCATAATAGTGTACAAACTTACAATTCCAATTAATTATAGTCGAATTTCGACTACTGCGGGACCTCTAGTATCTCGTAATTGCATATTGACAGAATAATATTTCTGTTAGCAAGCGTCGTGGTCTAAAGGATAAGACGCCCGGTGCATTCGTATTTAGCGATGCGTATGTGTCGGTGTTCGAATCCAGCAAGCATATAACAATGTTTCTGATGAAATACGCACTTAACAAATGCTCACGAATGGCTTTTACGGTGAAGGAATAGTATTGTGAAATAATAACCCTTCTACTCATATCTGTTCATAAAATATTTATAACTGCTGATATCAAGCACCCCACCCTTTTTTTTTGTACAATAAAATCTTTTTTATTACACAATTTTGAAAAAAAAAATTTTAAAAATTTATTTTCTATTTTTTAGTTGGATTTTCTATAAAAGCGTATTTTTTTTGTTTTTTTATAATAAACTATTATTTATTTTTCATTATTTTATTGAATTTAAATTTTTTGAGTATTTTTTTTAAATATTAAATTGTCATCGGTCCTTAATAAGTATGCCGAATTTCGAGCTAATCCGACGTTTTGAAGGGGTCAAAATTATGTTCAAAGATTCCATTACATACTAACATACATACGTCTGAAGCTAATAAAAGCGTATTAAAAATGAAGCCCGCAAAAATTTTAATTTGTTTAATTACTGGTGGTGGGCGTCTCGTGAGCTTGCACGGGTAGGTAGCACCACCCTGCCTATTTTTGCCGTGAAGCTGACGATTTCATACCAGTTGGGCCGTGAGCACTATAGCAATAACAAAAGCCCTTTTTATTTTTGCCTTGAATAATTTTTTTTTCTGATATAACATTTTTGTGTATTCGAAAAACTCTGACCGCAGTGGTTGCTCTGACGGTCAAACATCTGCGTTTCACGTGAACGTGCATGTCGAGCCTAATCGCGATTCTTTAATTATTCATTCTGCAGCGACGGACGCCAAACGACGTTGGCTCTAGGATAGGGATGGCCAATGGAATGGCGAATTTTACTTGCACTTCATGCTTAGAGTTCTGCCCGTCTATTATTAAGTGGTTACTGGATGTATGGACATCACAGCCTGACTTTCATTTATCGTGAAAAAGTAAAAAAATATATCACACTAAGGATCACAATCCACTGGATTCAAAAGGCGGTTAAAATAGTCTAGCAGTATAGCTGCCAACCTTAATCTAGACGTTATAATAAGGAAATCGGTGCCATTATATCAGAAATCGAATAGACTGTTATGTCAGAATTATTTACACGCTATGGGTGATTTTTAGTGAATTATCGTTCATTACGTGACTTGTAACAGGATGGATTTTGAATTCTTTTTTTTTAATATTCGAATTTCTTGTAATTTGTATTATGTACTATCCGAACTTACTGGTAGGACCTCTTGTACCGGTGGTAGGACCTTTTGTGAGTCTGCACGGGTAGGTACCACCGCCCTGCCTATTTCTGCCGTGAAGCAGTAATGCGTTTGGGTTTGAAGGGTGGGGCAGCCGTTGTAACTATACTGAGATCTTAGAACTTATATCTCAAGGTGGGTGGCGCATTTACGTTGTAGATATCTATGGGCTCCAGTAACCATTTAACACCACCACCCATTTAAGCAATAAAAAAAAAAAGAATATTATTGCATATTTCCCGCAAAACAAGAACTAGTGTAGTAGTTATAGAGGAGAATTGCGACATCAATCTCATGCAATGGGGTTGACAGCACCAAATGGTTTAGGAGCTCTGGCACGAGAAGACATCGCTGTTCTGCCTATTCTATAACTATTTAAGCCGAAAGCTCGTTTGTTCATAAAAAGAAAGCTATGTGTACATATTTTTACGAAATCGAAAGTTTGACATTTGCATAATTTCTCTCAACTCCATATAGAAGAAAACCGGTCGGATACTAGATAACCGCATTCTCACGGATCTTTTGGAAACTGGGTCTACACAGGGGCTTCGGGTATCTCTTGTACCGTATGTTCTGTGAAAAGAGCTTTGAGGAATTGTTCTAAACGATCCCTCCATCTTCTTTTTATCA